GAAACCCATTTGAAACAGAAAGATACACACAGAGTAAAGGTAAAAGGCTGGAGCAGAATATATTATGCTTCAGCTGAAGTAAAAAAAGCAGAGGTAGCAATCCTGATTTCAGACAAAGCAGAAGCAAAAATAGGTCTAATTAAAAGAGATACAGGAAACTTTTGCTAAAAGGTACCACAGACAATGAAGTCATATCAACACTAAACATATATGTACCAAGTAGTATAGCATCCAGATTCTAAGAGGAGATGTTAAGTGAGTTATAGGAAGAAATAGACAGCAAAACTATACTAGTGGGGGACCTCAACATCCCCTTCTCAGAACTAGATAAATCTAACCACAAAATAAATAAGAAAGAAGTTAAGGAGGTGAACAGAATTTAGAAAAGTTAGATATGATAGACCTCTGGAGAAAACTAAATGAGGATAGAAAGGAATATACCTTTTTCCCAGTGGTACATGGTACTACACAAAAAATGACCATGTATTAGGGCATAAAAACCATACAATCAAATGCAGAAAGGCAGAAATATTAAATGTATACTTTTCAGATCATGATGCAATAAAAATTACATGTAATAAAGGGCCATAGAAAGATAGATTAAAAATTAATTGGAAACTTGTGTCAAACAACAAATCATAGAAACAATCAATAATTGCATCAAAGAGAATAATAATGAGACAACATACTAAAATTTATGGGATGCAGCCAAAGCAGTTCTTATGGGAAATTTTATATCTCTAAATGTTTACATGAATAAAACAGAGAAAGAACAGTTCAAGGAATTGGGCATGCAACTAAAAAAGCTAGAAAAAGAACAAATTAAAAATCCCCAATTAAATACCAAATTAAAAATTCTGAAAATCAAAGGAAAGATTAATAAAATTAAAAGTAAGAAAACTATTGAACTAATGAATAAAACTAAGAGCTGGTTGTATGAAAAAATCCCCAATAAAATAGATAAGCCTTAAGTTAATTTGATTAAAAAAAAAAAGAAAACCAAATTAGCAATATCAAAAATGAAAAGGATGAATTCACCACCAATGAAGAGGAAATTAAAGCAATAATTAGGAGCTATTTTGTCCAACTGTGTGCCAATAAATCTGACAATCTAAGTGAAATGGATGAATATTTACAAAAATATAAATTGCTCTGATGAACAGAAAAGGAAATAAAATACTTAACCCCATTTTAGAAAAGGAAATTGAACAAGCCATCAATGAACTCCCTAAGAAAAAATTTCCGGGGCCAGATGAATTTACAAGTGAATTCTACCAAACACTTAAAAAACAATTCCAATACTGTTTTAACTATTTGGAAAAATAGGAGAAGAATGGGATTCTACCAAAGTCTTTTTATGACACAAATATGGTACTGATACCTAAACCAGTAAGAGCCAAAACAGAGTAAGAAAATTATAGACCACTGATTAGAGAAATGCAAATCAAAACTCTGAGGTACCATATCACACTATCAGATTGGCCATGACAAAACAGGAAAATGATAAATGTTGGAGAAGATGTGGGAAAATTGGAACACTAAAGCATTGTTGGTGGAGTTGTGAAATGATCCAACCATTCTGGAGAGCAATTTGGAACTATGCCCAAAGAGCTATAAAAATGTGCATACCCTTTGACCCAGCAATAGCACTTCTAGGGCTATATCCCAAAGAGATCATACAAATTGGAAAAGGACTCACATGTACAAAAATATTTATAGCAGCTCTTTTTGTGCTGGCAAAGAATTGGAAATTGAGAGGATGCCCATCAATTGGGGAATGGCTGAACAAGTTGTGATATATGAATGTAATGGAATACTACTGTGCTATAAGAAATGATGAACAGGCTAACTTCAGAAAAATCTGGAAAGACTTGTATAGTCTGATGCTGAGTGAAATGAGCAGAACCAGGGGAACATTGTACACAGTAGCAGCCACACTGTGTGATGACTAATATTGACAGACTTAACCCTTCTCAGTAATTCAAGGATCTAAGACATCTCCAAAGCCCTCATGATGGAAAATGCTATCCACATCCAAAGAAAGAATGATGGAGTCTGAATGCAGATCGAAGAATACTATTTGCTATTTTTTTTCTTCTGTTGTGTTTCGTTTCCTCTTTCTGGTGGTTCCTCTTATTGGTTCTAATTCTTCCTTACAACATGACTAATGTGAAAATATGTTTAATAGCAATGTTATGTATAGCCTATGTCAGATTGTGTACCATCTTGGGGAGGGAGATAGTGAGGGGGAGAAAAATTTTAAATTCAAAAGCTTATGAAAGTGATTGTTGATAAATCAAAATAAATTAATTAAAAAACAAAAACAAAAACAAAAGGTCAAGAATATCAAGGGAATTAATGGGAAAAAAATGCAAAGGAAGGTGGCCTAGCTATACCAGATCTAAAACCATATTATAAAGTACCAATCATCAAAACTATTTGGTACTGGCTAAGAAATACAGTGGTGGATCAGTGAAATAGGTTAAATACACAGGACACAATAATCAATAACTATAGTAATCTACTATTTAACAAACCAAGAGATTCCACCTTCTAGGATAAGAACTTACTATCTGACAAAAGCTGTGGGAAAATTGGAAAATAGTACAGCAGAAACTAGGCATAAACTAACGTCTCACATTGTATACCAAGATAAGGTCAAAATGGGTACATGAGTTAGACATAAAGAGTGATACCATAACCAAATAAGGAGAGCAAGGAATAGTTTACCTGTCAGATCTATGGAGAAAGGAAGAATTTATGACCAAACAAGAGATAGAGAACATTGTGAAATGCAAAATGGATCATTTTGATTATATTAAATTAAAAAGGTTTTGTATAAACAAAGCCAATGCAACCAAGATTAAGAGGAAAGCAGAAAGACAGGAAACAATTTTTACAGCCAGTGTTTCTGATAAAGGCCTCATTTCTCAAATATATAGAGAACTGAATCAATTTTATAAGAATACAGGTCATTCCTCAATTGATAAATGGTCAAAGGATATAAATAGGCCGTTTTCAAATGAAGAAATTAAAGCTATCTATAGTCATATGAAAAAATGCTCTAAATCACTACTGATTAGAGAAATGCAAATTAAAACAACTCTGAGGTACCTCACACCTATCAATCAGATTGGCTAATATGACAGAAAAGGAAATGATAAATGTTGGAGAAGATATAGGAAAATTGGGACACTAATGCATTGTTGGTGGAGTTGGGAATTGATCCAACCATTCTGGAGGGCAATTTGGAGCTGTGCCCTTTAAAACTGCATACCCTTTGAGCCAGCAATACCATTACTAGGTCTGTATCCCAAAGAAATCATAAAAAAGAGAAAAGGACCCACATGTACAAAAATATTTACAGTAGGTATTTTTGTGGTGGCCAAGAATTGGAAATTTAATGGTGTGCCCATCAAATGGGGAATGGCTGAACAAGCTGTGGTATATGAATATAATGGAATACTATTGTTCCATAAGAAATGATGAGCAGGGGAATTTCAGAAAAACCTGGAAAGACTTATATGAACTGATTCTGAATGAAGTGAGCAGAACCAGGAGGACACTGTCCATAGTAACAGCAACATTATGCAATGACCAACTTTGACAGAATTAGCTCTTCTCAGCAATACAATAATCTAAAACAATTCCAAAAGACTTATGCTATCCACATCCAGAGAAAGAACTATGGAGTCTGAATGCAGATCAAAGTATACTGTTTTCACTTTCTGTGGGGTTTTTTTTGTGGTTTTCCCTTTTGTTTTGTTTCTTCTTTCACAATATGACTACTGTGAAAATATGTTTAATATGATTGTACATGTATAACCTGTATCCGATTGCTTGCTGTCTTGGGGAGGAGGGAGGGAGAAAAATTTGGAACTCAAAATCTTATAAAAGGGAATGTTGAAAACTATCTTTACATGTAATTGAAAAAAATAAAATACTATTAAGTGAAAAAAACAAAATAAAATAATAAAAACATGTATTAGGGGAAAGAAAAAAAAAGAAGTTCTACTCTGGTCTGATCCTCTCAGTTGATAGAGAGGGGAACTGAGGACAGAGAGGTAGCATAGCTTGCCTGAGGTCATGCACAGTAAACAGCAGTTCTGGCACTCAAACACATCCTCTTCTCCAAATCCAGAGTTCTTTCTACTACACAGAAAAGTGAACCAGAAAATCTGACCACTATGAGCAAAAGGGCCTTAAGACTCCTCTCTCTACCCACTGTGGGCCTATGCAGAGTTAAATGCACACAAGATGAAATTATACTCAGTAGATCAATGACCTGGAAAAATCAAAACCCAGATAATCAAAAAAGCAGACAAATAGATAAATCTGAATAAATGTTTGATGATTGAATTCAGATGGCACAAGGGCTATGTTTCTTCTTCTTCTTTTTTTTAGGCAATTGGGGTTAAGTGACTTGCCCAGGGTCACACAGCTAGTAAGCGTTAAGTGTTTGGTCTGAGGCCGTATTTGAACTCAGGTCCTCCTGACTTCAGGGCTGGTGCTCTATCCACTGCGCCATCTAGCTGCCCCTGGCTATGTTTCTTCTGTCTTCCATCCTGCCCCCCACCTCCCTTAGTGTACCCTTCTGAGCACATGCCAACTGAGGGGTTGGGAAAGGGACACAGTACAGTACCAAGAAAAAGGGAGAAGCTGATAGAAATGGAGCGTTATTAGCGATCTGTTAGATTAAGGCAATCAATACTACTGTTTGGTCTTCAGCCTGACCCCTTCCTTTGAAGACTGCCACTTGATGACCTCCATCTGAGGGATTAGGCAGTTCAGAAGGGAGGAGGAAAAGGCTCTAAAAGTCTCAGCCGGGTCTGAGATAGGGCACTGAGCCCAATGACCCAGTTTACAGCTTGTCAGGAGCAGTATCTAGATTACCTGACTACTTCCTGGGTCAGGAAGATTAATGCATGGCCAGAAAAACAACCTTCTGTGGTTCTACAATGAGATTTGGACCAGGAGACTCAGGCTCCCCATCAGCTTACCTTCACTGAATGATGCTGCTGGGTTTGAAGCCTTGTATCCATCCCAGTAGTGCCGCAAGGCTGTGATCAGCCGGTGCAGAAAGCACACCATGTACTCCGGCGGGCAGAGAACAGTTAGGTTCTAAAGAGAAGCAGACAACAGCTTGCTACCAAGTCTGGTCCTAGTCTTTCACAAGAACAGCTCTGGCTAACATACTTTCTTCTATTAGCAATCCCAATTTCTCCAGTGCAACACTTCTCACAAGCTGCCTGTCTCTCCCAAGACATGTCCTCACCATGTGGACAGCAGCAGTTAATTAGTTGGTCATGTCCACATACTGAGAGCCCCTCCTCTTGGCACGGCCAGGGGGCAGGAGGAAGGGAAGACAGGGAATGATGCCCTGTGTCTGAGATAAGGATCTGCCCTTAAGGAACCCCTGGCACAAGGAGGGAGGCACAGGCCTCAGAGAAAAGCAACATGTCAGGGTGTGCAGGGGGCTAGGATCTGACTCATTGTTAGCTGCCCAAGACACTCACTCTTCTATTTAGAATTTGTCCAGGGGACCTTACCTTTGACCCCACAACTCTTTACACTTAAATTTTCTAATAGAATTTCCCTGATCCCTGAAATCTCAGCTAGGCCCCAAACCTTCTGGGGCCTCTTGGCTCTCCAGTTCAGAGGCCTGGTGCACAGAACCTGTCCCACTACCATTATCTCTGGGTTCCTTTTCATAGCATTCACTTCCTTCTTTTCCTTTTTTTTTTTTTTTGGTGAGGTAATCGGGGTTAAGTGACTTGCCCAGTGCCATACAGCTAGTAAGTGGTCAAGTATCTGGTCTGAGGTCGGATTTAAACTCAGGTCCTCCTGACTCCAGGTCCAGTGCTCTATGCACTACGCCACCCAGCTGCCTCCCCTCTTTTCCGTTCTAATCATATGTATGCATGCATGTTGTTTCCCCCGACAGAATGTAAGTTCCTTGCTGGCATGATCCATTTTGTTTTTATCTCAGATCCCCAGTACCTGGTACAGTGTCTGGCATGTTATAGACAATTAATGCTTGCTGATCTCTGTGAACATTAAACCACAAAGGTATTCTCTAGCATTTATTTACAAGGGAACGATAAAATGTAAATTTAGAAATAACTCATCAAATAACACAATAGGTATTATTATTCCTGGGGCTGTTAGGAGTGCCAGGCCTGAAGTCAGGAAGACTCATCTTCTTGTTTAAATCTCACCTCAGACATTTACTAGCTTTGTGACCCTGGGCAAGTCACTTCACCCTGTTTGCCTCAGTTTCATCATCTGTAAAATGAGCTGGAGAAGGAAATGGCAAACCACTCCAGTACCTTTGCCAAGAAAACCCCAAATGGGGTCACAAAGAGTTGGACATGACTGAACAACAACAAAATTATTATTCCCATTGTGCAGATGAAGAAACAGCTCATAGTAATTAGAAATTCCTATAAAGTAAATCTATCCTTTCCCAGATAAAGTAGCCTTAAACTTCCAAATCTGCCCCACCTGGCCACTGAGAACATACAAAAGTGGCATTTAGGATTTGTCCATCTGGGCCTTCTGGACCAAGCTCTCCAAATTCCAGACTCACTCTCAGCAAATAAAGTAGCTTCCTGAAGGCTTGGTGGGTTTGTGGGGCTCCACCCATTGAATGACCAAATCCTATAGTTCTTTACCTGTATCTCCTTTACCTGGCAATCAATCGCCCCTCCTCCTCTACCTTTCCAGCTTTAATTTCTATCATTCCCATCAAAGCTATGTGAAACGAGACTGCTCTGTCCCTGCACACACACTGTGCTCTCCAGCTTCCTTTCCTTTGTTCACAATGTTCTCTGAGCCAAGAACGCCTGCCCTCCCTCCTTCTCTTTACCCAATTAATTCCTACCTCATTTCTGAAGATTTATTGCAATGCTGCCTATTCCAGGAAGCCTTCTGTTATGTCTGTCTTCACCCTGGCTGCTTGTGACCTTTTCCCCATGGATCTCAAAGAGAATTTTGTTTACCCTTTCAAAAGCATTTAACATATATCATTGCAAACTATAGTAATCTGTGTTTCTTTCTTATCCCCCTATGTTATAAATTCCTTGAAGGTAAGGGCCATGTAGAATCTGTATTTTGTATCTCTCTTAGCACTGAGAAATTAATTGTATGTACACAGTAGGCACCTAATAAATGTTTCTGATACTGCATTGTATAGGTGCGTGGGACAGTTCCTATTACCTTAAGATCAGAATGATTCAACCCAGCTTACCCCAAAATTCAAAGACACCCTAACTCTGTACCCTGAGCTTCAGTGAAACCCATCTAGGTTCAAAAAGAAGAATGAAGCCTTTGCGGGGCAGGATTGAACGGCAAACAAAAAGTCAGTTCCCACCAGGCCTTTTCCACTAGTGCCACACAAACTGGGGCCCAAATGGAAGCTCCTGACAAGGTCATCAAGAGGGCCTGCTTCTTTCCCACAAAGGCCAGACCTATAGGAACTTGTCCTTGAACAGGGGGCATGACTTCACCCTAATTTATAATGATAATAATGGCTGGCTTTTACACAGTGCTTTGATGTTTACAAAGCACTTTACATGTATTATTTCCTTTGATCCTCACAATAACCTTGTGAGGGTTCCTACAGGTATTATTATTCCCATTGCACAGATGAAGAAACAAGTTTATAGAAGATCAGGAATTTGACCATGATTACAAAGCTAAGTAAATTTTAAGGGCAGGATTCAAACTCTCATCCCTCTGGACTCATCCCTGATTTGTATGACAGACTACCAAAACCATGCTAAAAACCAGCAGTGCAAAACAATGTGGAATGTCAGAAAGAGCAGTCTCTGGAGTAGATCTCAACATGGGCCTGAAAGTCAGCTGTGCCACTTATTGGGGACAGGAAAATGGACTAGACCTCTGACTGCTCTGGTATGGAAACCTCCCTGGTGAGGTAAGTCTCTCTACCAACACAGCTGGCTACTATTCCTGCACTTATAGTCTTTAAGAGGTGCCTAGAGCACTGAAGGGTTAAATGACTAACTAGTTTGGTCGGTGTGTGTCCAAGGCGAGACTTGAACCCAGGCCATCTTGGCTCCAAGGCTGGCTCTCTCTCTCCACTAAACCATGCTGCTCTATTATCTCCGTGAGATGGGCAAATCACTAACATCTCTGGACCTCAGTTTCCTCATCTGTGAGATAAGATGGTTGGACTAGACTGTGTCTTCCAGTTCTAAATTTAGAATCCTATCATCCCCCTACAATCAAGCTCTTGCCTAGGTGCCTGAGCCCCTAATTGGCAGCCAGGCCCACGAGGCTCTTGGGAAGAGGAAGGTACTGCAGGGCTTTCCCCTAAGAAGTTGGCTCTGCTCTGCAGTGAGAGATGGTATGAGGCAGTGGGGAGCGACAGTCTCTGAAGTCAGATGACCTCTGCCCCAACTACCTGTAGGACCCAGGGATTCCGTTTTCTCATTTGCAAAATGTGGGGGTCGATTCAATGGCCTCTGAGGTCCCTTCCAGGCCAGAAGGAAACACAGACAAGCAGAACAGCTTTGAAAGTTACATGTTGAATTTATTACATACTTAAAAGGAAAAGCAGACTCTACATCATAGAGATTCACAGCGTTACGTACAATTCTCTTTTACTTTTCCACTTCATACAGGGAAATGCTCATTTTATTTAGTGTTAAGTTCTGAATTTTAAAAATTCAAATCCAAATAAAGCCCCTTCCTGTTCTAGGTCTGGGGTAATCCACGCACCCTTTCCTCTTCCGATGACAGACTCCTAAGGAGGATGGTGATTACACAGAGAACTACCATGAACATGGCAGAGGAAGGAAGGAGACAGGGGAGGAGGAGAAGGAAGAGAATGGGAGAGGAGGGCAGTTAGCTAGCTCTCAAGCCTGTAGCATGGTGCAATGGAAATAGAACTGGTCCTGGAGTCAGCAGAGGAGTTGTATTTGAATCCCAACTTTACGTCTTACTAGCTACATAACTTTGAGCAACTCATTTCAGACTCCCTGACCCTTAGTCAGACCGTCCTCATTTAAAAAGGAGATAATAATACTTGCACAGTCCACCTGCACAGAGTTGTGAGGAAAGTACTTTGTAAATCTCAGTGTACAAGAAATGTGATTTATCATGAATTCTCTGCCAGTTACAACAGAGTCAAATTCTGGAAATTCCCACCCTCCAGCCTCTTCATTGTCTCCAGGGAACCAGCTCTGTGCCAGGCATATCTCTTTGGGGCTTAAGCAACAGCCTTGTCAGAGCTGCCGTAAATGTCTTTGGCTGGTCTCCTAAGAGTGGGAGGGCCCCCCACCCCTTGGTGATCCTTGGGGAGGTACCCCCCTGGCCTGAACAAACCACTCACCCCTCGGCTGCTGGCATTCTCTTGCAGGAATTTTCGAAACTTGTTGAGGAAAATGTACCTGGAAGCTTCACCCTGGGAGAGAAGCAAAGCTGGACTGGCAGCAAGAAGCAGCCAGGGGAGAGGAATCGATGGTCTCCAGCCTTCCACCCACTTATCCACCAACCACAGAAGCACATGAGGTGTTCCCTCCTACCAAATGGGCCCAACTGCATACCCCACGCAAGGCTCAGCTGGGTGTAACCTCCAGCTTCTATCACTACCAATATGTATGAACCTGTCCTCTTCCCCCTCTTAGGCTTTGGTCTCCCCATCCTGGGTACCAAGGTCCCTGACATTTTGCTTTCTCTGCCCCAAGGACCCTTCCAGCTCTACTGTTCTCCCTCATGCAAGCTCACTTACCCCATTATGGTCTTGATTATTCAACAGCAACTTTAGGATCTGAACCTGGAGATCTTCTACCACTGAAAGGGGGAAGCAGACCATCAGTCCAGACAGCCTGAGTCCAGCCCTAGGTGGGACAGGGAGCACTGGCAGCAAAGGCTACCACCCCTCCTGGAGTGAAAGAGGAGCCACCAGTCCTCCTGGGAGGCACAGTCATCCCCAACCAGGAGTCAAGCTAGCCCTTCTGGGCACAGGTCAGGAAATACTCCCCAACTCCCAGATTCCCTGAGGGGAGGGATGCTGAGTGGGGACAGGACTATGTAAATGGGGGGAAAGAAGATAAGGGAGGAAGTAAAAAGTCCCTCCTCAACAAAGGTAGCGGCCCCTGGAGCTCCTCTGGCACCTGCCACAAGGAAAGAAAGATGAGGGAGCAGTCAGACCTTCAATTCGTTTCTTGAGTCTTTGGCAACCTCGCTCATATGCCCGCCGTCTCAGCCGCTCCTCAGCACTCTCTTCCTTCACCTCCTTAGTCTCCTTGCCCTGAAGTAAGGAATGAGAGGGCCCCTGTAAATATGACTAAGACCTGAAGCCTCAGAACAAGCTTCCTCCAGCCCAAGGCAGGGAACCCGGAGGATTTTGTACCCCCACTGTAATGGTGTCCTAAACATGCTGTGACTGGACTATCTCCTTTTCCAAAACAGAATCAACCTGGGGATATCAGCCTTGCCAGGAATCTCCAATCCAGCAGGGCAGCAGGCTCCTGGTCCTTGTGCTTGGCACAGGACCCACAGAACTAGCTGGGGAAAGCACATGTGGAAACCTCACTCAGGTCAAAACTCCTAAGCCTATATTCAATTGTCAGAGAGCTCAGCTCAGACCCAGCAAGATTCCCCATGGGCATCATGATATCCCACTAGGGTGTCTATCCTATAGATGCCCCAGTCTGGGACACCATTCTTCTGTGTAGATACAGAGAATACATGGCATTTTAGTCTTGATCAGCAAAAATTCTCCTCCTAAAAAGGCAGCCTGGACTTAATCAAAAGTACTATCTGTTTAATGTCCTACACACAACAGCTGAAAACTGACAGTTGTGGAACTCTGGCTAACAAAGCAGCACTCTTCCCCTCTCTCTCCTGGTTAAAGGAATCTCTGAAATTAGAACAGCAGACAGAGAGCTGAAAGTGGCCCTTCCCACTGGTCACCCCTGCCTACTCCCCAATTACTGAAGCTATTGCGACCTAAAGCCTCCTCCATGCCTTTACAGTTCCCTTGACAGAAGGATGGAGCAGGACAGAGGTTCTTTTCCCATCTGCTAAAGCAACAGACTCCTCCCTGCACACCCTACCCCAGTTCGTGGTCTGGGTGTTTGTGTGGGTGGGGGAGGAGGGGCGGGAATCGTCACTTTTTCACCCGCTGACTAGGAGGAGACAAAAGGGGTTTAGACCCTAGATTCTCTGGATGGCTCAGAGGGTAGTGGGGCCCAGGATTCTCTCTGAAGCTATTTATGTGACATCGTCTCAGAAGATCCCTATTTGACTTTCCTTATCAGAAGCCTAGAGAGACAGAGGCCTTTCTGTCCAGCCAGGAGCACCCCTCACTCTGGCGAGGCAGAGGTGGGAAGGCAGCTGTCTACCTCTTTATTGAAGCGATTGGGCCACCACGTGGTGGGGATGAGCTCCTGAAGGCCGGCCTCCTCCACTCGCAATGGACTCTTGATGTAGAAGAAAACCACAGAGCGAAGCACATCAAAGCTGTAGGAAGGATGGCTAAGGGGTTAGGCCAGAGTCTGATACAGCCTGAGCATGTAGTATACAGCAACTCCCAGAGCTCAGCCCCAGCAGCACTGGCTCCTCCCATCCCCTCCAACCCACCCACAACTGATCTGAGTAGGAAGAACATCATGTGAGCTTAGAGACACCAAAGATTACCCTAACTTAAAAAAACAAACTTTCTCTGTTGGCTTGTCACAATGCCTCAACTCTCTCCATCACAGCATTATTCTTTTGGGTTTTAAGAGGTTATCCAGATTTCAAGAGTTCTTGATAATATTCAAATGCTTGAGAAGGGTCCCACTTCAAGTCTGAACAGCAATAGTTCGGTAAGATAATCAGAAATTTTGCAGCCAGGATACCTGGCTGAAAGCAAGGCCCTGTTGCCTGGGAGGGGACAAAAGATAAACTTCCAATTTGGTTACACAAGGGTCCTGGCTCCTATTTCCCAAGCAGGACCCTTAACTCTCCCCACTCCCCAAAATAAGCCTTGCCTCTCATTTGCACAAGTTTTCACAGCCATTATATTTCCCTGCTCATCTTCAGGGGAATCCTAGGAAACTGGTAGGGCATGTATTAATCAGCCCATTTTATAAATGAAGAAACTCTGCCTCAGAAGTAGCCTGAAAGTTATCCTCTGAGACCTGTGCATGGTATCAGCAGCCCCTTGGGTTCTTAGAAGCTATGTCCACAGAGGTTTCCAAGCTAAGGCAAGTTCTACACTTGAAGAAAATGACTGGCAGGATAGATTGTGGTCACCACCAGCAGGCTGGCCATCAGTACAGGAACCAGCAACCCAGGAAACAAAGAAAAACACAAAAAAGCCCTCAGGTCTAGACTACCCCATTATGCAGCAACAGCATCAGAGCAGGAGAAAAGGAAACCAGGGTGCTCAGTCATTTTTCAGCCTATCTAGAAACACTAATTTCACTATTAGTAATCCACACATTAGAGACCTGCCCAAATAATAACAAACTCACATTCAAAGAATGCTTTTCTAAAGTACTTTTAAGAGTGTGAACACATCTGACTTCAATCTTCATCTCCTGATTCTTTCCCTTTATACCATACTGCCACCCTCTCCTGCTCTGCCAGTCTACCAAAGCCCATCTCCTCTTCTAGCCTTAAGCTCTTCCCAAGGTACCAATGAAATCAGCCATTACAGCCATTCCCTACTGAGCAGAGCTTGAGAGGATGGAGAAGAGCAGAGACATGCAGAAGAGTACAACCCAAAGTCAGTACTCCAATGATGCTAACGTTCTCTCCCACTGCAGTAGTCCTCTGAGCTAATCTACTGTTTTAAGAGCAAAACAATCAAAAAAAGATGTCATCCTAAGGTTGTTCTGCTTCCTTGGCCTTTTCTTTGGGGGTTGTGTTTTCCTGTGCTTTGTTGGAGGGTGGTGGAGGCTGGAGAAGAGGCTAAGCAGAAAGAAGAGACCAAAGGAGGACAAAAGACACAGACCAAGCAAGTGAGGGCCCATCCTTGAGAGACCCACTGGCCTGGCTGACATCCAGAGCTTGCCAGGCAGCCAGCGCCTTGGATAGGGAGCAGGCCTGACTTCTGCTAATGCTTTATTCTGCACTTTTCTAATGAAGTTATCATTAAGCATTGCACATTGTATTTGTGTCTTATCCCAGTATGTGGCTACACACTCCATGAGGGCAGGAGCCGTGTCTCACCTAAACTTGTCATTTCCCCCAGTGCCCATCACAGTCCTCTACCCACAGTGAAGGCTTCATAAATATTTGCTCAATGAACAAATGAATGCACACATGTGTACTGACATCAGGAAACTCCAGCTGCGTCCCTGTTGTCAGAGCCACAGCAGACCGGGTCCTGGCTATGGCTGACAGGGGAAGGCAGTAGTGAGGGCCCCAATTTCCCAGGCCTTTCCTTCTCCAGCCCAAACTAAACAAAAGAAAATATAAATACTCAGAAGCAAAACAGGGAAACAAAGGATAAATAACATATTTTCCCTCTCTCTCTTTTCACAATGGGTTCCAGTAAAACAATTCACACTTGATTAAGAACCATTAAGACTGATTCCGAGAGTCAGTCCCCCCATTTTTGAACAGGGATAAAGGGCACAGGTTTGGGAAGTTACCTGACCGTGGCTGCCTCCCCACCACACTCCACAGGCACCTTTAGAGAAATGCCCATCTCACATAACACTTAGAACACAGTTTGCTACTCTGCGTTCCTCTGTATTTCTTTTCTCTAGAAATGACTGTGAGACATTTCACGGAACAAAGCAGTTGAGTAGCATATTGTTTTAACTTTGCTTATTTGGCAAGAAAACTGTCTCTCATGCATATCCCTAAACAATGCTAAATGGGACAGCAAGTAATCCAAATGTGCAATAGAAAAAACTCAGAAAGGAAATAAAGTACAATTCTCTAAATTCCAAACTGAAACTGGTCAGTTTTTGAAGCACCCCCTCCCCCCCAAAAAAAAAGCCACAGCAAAATGAGAAGTTGGACTAGATGACATCCAGGTCCTTTTCAGTTCTGATGTTCTATGATTTATGTTCTAAGGTCTCTTCTATTCTTAACTCTCTTATTCCGTGACTCCTCATTCTCTCCTCTTTTAAGGATAGTGCCAGATGCTTGGAAAACAATTAGGAGCACAGCCTAACCTTATGCTTCCTCCTCTCCAGACAAACACAAGTCTCCAACCCTGCACCTAAAGAAGTGGGCTGTGCCCTGATGGTATGACCCCAGCTTGTGGCTCAGTGGCTCTAATGCAGGTGGTTCCCACTGCTCATGCTCAGGGAATAGAGTGAGAGTGAGTAAAAAAACCAAGGATACAGGACATTGTTAAGCAGAAACTTCCTGGACTTCTCATGCTTCAAGATAGCAATGGTAAGACGAAGGTAGTGCATCTAGAAATGAAGAGAGAATTAAATAAAATTAGAGGTATTTAAGTGGTGCAATGGAAAGAGAACCAGTCCTGGAGTTGAGAAGACCTAAGTTCAAATCTGCCTCAGACACTTATTGGCTGTGTGATAGTACGCAAGTCACTTAACCTCTGTTTGCCTCATTTTCCTCATCTGTAAAACCAGGGTTGTGGTGAGGATCAAATGATATAGTAATCGTAAAGCCCTTAGCACAGGTCCTGGCACATAACTTCATCATCATTATCACACTGAAAGTTCTGGCTAGCAAGGCAAAGAAAAAGGCAGTAGAGGACAGCAAGGAAAGATATTCAGGAAGGAACGATAGCCTAGAATGCAGCCCAGGCTATAGACATTAATATTCAGTGCCATCTGTCTCTGCATCCCCACCCACCTGGCACTAACCTAGCCACAAACCTGGTCTACTCCAAGGAAACATTAGAAAATCCTTCTCATTGGGCCTCAGGGCTGCTTGTGTGCCCGCTCACCTGTAAGCTCAGGTCTGGGATGATGGGGGAGAATCTGTAGGCACGGAGTAGCGACATCATCAGCTGCTTGAGGCACTCCTGTACCTCATAATCCTGAGGGAAGGAAAAGACCCAGGTAGAGCCCAAGGAGGCACAGAGGAACTCAAGGGACGATGCAGAGCCTGCTCTGGATCCCTTTCCAACTCAAACGCTCCATAATTCTGTAACTCACCTCCATGAGTAGCCACATAAGATCCAGGAGCTGCTGGATGAGGGGGCAAGACTCCACGGACCCATCTTTCTCCAGGACGCTCAGGAGAAACTTCATGAGAACATCTTCCACTAGGTACACTTTGCACTACGTATAACAGAGGAGGAGAAGAGATGAAGACAAACTGAACACCTAGATCTCAGCAGCACTTATGCCTCAGGAGACTGGCTTCTTGTATTTTTGAGTAATGGGCTCTTACTTGACTGAGTTGGACATATACTAAAGCGCCTACTATGTGCTCAACCCTGCATCAGGCACTCAAGGGGTTACAAAGAAATACAAGAAACAGTCTCTGACCTCTAGAAATTTAAAAACCTAGTTGGAAAAACAACAAAAATATTAAGCTATTTTAAAAGATTTTTTTTTGAGAATGAATATATTTTAGCCTTTCCATGACCATTTTCTCTCTCTTTAAAAAAAAAATTATTCTTTTTTAAAAAAATTTTGAGTTCCAAATTCTCTCCCTATGGCCCCTCCCCCACCCACTGAGAAGACAAACAATATGGTATCAACTATACACCTGAAATCATGCAAAACATTTCCATATTAGCCATGTCACACACACACAAAAACAAGAAAAATTAAGAAACTGAAAGATTATAATTCAGTTTAAATTTGAGAACTCATCAGTTCTTTTTCATGAGTCCTTTGGAATTGTATTGGATCACCATCTTGATAAGAATAGCTAAGTCTTCCACAATTGATCATCCCTACAATATGGCTGTTATTGTGTACAATGTTCTCCTGGTTCTGCTCACTTTACTTTGCATCAGTTCATATATGTCTTACAAGGTTTTTCTGAAACCATTCCCCTCATCATTTCTTACAGCACTACAGTATTCCATCACAATCACATAACACAACTTGTTCAGCCATTCCATAGCTGATGGGTATCCCCTCAATTTCCAATTCTTTGCCATCACAAAAAGAGCCGCTATAAATATTTTTGCACATGTGGCCCTTTTCCTTTTCCTTTCATCTCTTTGGGATACAGACCTAGTAGTGGTATTGCTGGTTCAAAGTGTATGCACAGTTTTATAGCCCTTTGAGCATAGTTCGCAAGGGCTCTCCAGAATGGCTGGATCAGTTCACAATCATACCAATTAGTAGCATTAATGTCCCAATTTTTCCACATCCCCTCTAACATTTGTCATTCTCCTTTTCTGTCATATTAGCTAATGTGATGGGTATGAGGTGGTACCTCAGAGCGGTTTTAATTTGTATTTCTCTAATCAGTAATGATTTAGAGATCTTTTTCTTATGACTATAGAGCTTTGATTTCATCACCTGAAAACTGCCTGTTCATATCCTTTGACTATTTATCAATTGGGAAATGACTTTTATTTTTATAAACTTGGCTCAGTTGAGAAATAAAGTCATTATCAGAGAAATCTGCTGTAAAATTGTTTATATTACTTTATTGTCTATGGTACCTTTTACCAAAATGTCTTTTCCATGATTATCTCTTTTAATTAGGTCTATTTTTGCTTTTGCATCATCTGAGATTGTGATTGCTATCCCTGCCTTTTTTAGCTGAAGCATAACAGACTCTGCTCCAGCCCCTTATTTTAATTCTGTATGTGTCTCTTTCTGTTTCAAGTCTGTCTCTCTTGTAAACATATTGCTAGATTTTGGTTTCTAAGCCATTCTGCTATCTGCTTCTGCATCATGGGTGAGTTCATCCCATTCACATTTCAAAAGATTTGTGATTTCACTGATATGAATACAACCCCATCAACACAAAGCACAACCCTCCCCCCACCCCCGACTTCAACGGGTGGTTTTACAAGTTACTATAGACTCCTCTTCCCCCACTCAAAATCATTCACCTGGTGGTCAACCCTTTGGTGATGAATACAAATTTTGCCAGGCTGGTCCTCAAACAACAAGCAGTACATCACCTATAGTTTGGTAGGACTCATCAGTCTGGCATAACCTTTGAGAACCTGGAGTCACTTCCATGCCATGATGAGGTAGGTATCAGGGTAAGAGCTTTGGTAGAGAAAGTGGATGGGACTACAAGGGCAAGACTGTCATTTTTGAATCTATGAGGCATACTGTCTTAATAAATATCTGTTAATATGAACTGACAGATGGCAAAATAAGCAGAATCAGGAAAATATATATCATAGTTATAACAATATAAATGTAAAGAAGAAAAAAAAATGAAATTCAATGCTGTGTAATTATAATGACCAAACTTGTTTCTGAGATGGCCTGAGCTAATGCACTTCCCCTCCCTTTTTGCAGTGGTAGAGCACTATGCTTGTGGAATACTGCATATATGATTAGACAGTTGATATACATTGATAAGTTTTGCTGAAAATAAATCAATCAACAAGCATTTATCAAACACTTACTATGTGCCTGACATCGTCAGGGAAGATAACATGTACATAATTAAGGATACACAAAATAAAAGGTAAATTGGGGGAATCAGTAAAGGCTTCATGTAGAGATGGAGGTTGATGGATTGAGCTTTGAAAGAAACTGGGGATTCTCAGAGGCAGAAATAAGGAAAGACACATTCCCAGCATGACAGACAGTTTGTGAAAAGGCAGAGAGGTGGCATCTAGAATGTTGTATATGAGCAACAGCAAAAAGACTGGTTTGGCTGAACTTTGTGGTAAGGAGAGCCAGCACAACAAACCTGGAAAAAAAGGCTGGGACCAGGTTATGACAGGCTGGGAAAGCCGGAGAAATTTACATCTTATCCTGGGGCAATAAGGAATCACTGAGCCCGGGAGTGACGGAGCTATGCCTGTGACTATGCAACGGTGAGAAATCATTGTAGCAGCTGTGCAGAGCACCATGCACAGACCTGATCACAGCCTCACACATGGCAACACAAACAACTCTGAGCCCCAGTGAATGAAGCCTAGCAAAGTGGAGAAATCGCTGACTGTGGAGTCAGAAGATAGGGGTTTGAATTCTGTCTCTGATGCTTATTACCTGTATGACCCTGAGGAAGTCATTTGCCCTCACCGGGCTGCAGTTACCTCAGCTGTAAAATGAAAGAGTTGGCCTATACAGCCTCTGAAGGTGCTTCCAGCTGTAGATCCATGGTCCTACCATCTATGACCCTATAATCCAACAAAAAAACTGAAGGACTAAGCACACCATTTCTCCTGAGAAAAGGAAGATAACCTGTCTAATAATTCAAGTTGATGTTTCTTAAACAACACCTATGACATGCAAGGCATGATGCTAGGCCCCAAGGCGGTCAAGACAAAACAGAACAGTCCTGGCCCTCAGGAAGAAAATGAGGTAGAAGGAGCTTTTGATACTTCCTCAGAGGATATGGGGGAGCCTCTCACCTCTTCCCACCCCCTCAGATCCCCAGCCTATCTCAAACTGAGTCTGCATCCTAGGTCAGCCAAGCCAATCTCAGGAGGAAGGGACTACCAGCCAAGGAGGGAAAGGACTGAAAGCCTGCGGCACTCACCATGAGAGGCGCAAAGTAGTTGAAGATGTGGGCCATGGTGATCAACACTGTGGGTTCTCCCCGAAGCTGCCATGTCGAACTTTCCCTCTCCACCAGCTTCCCTTCCTGCAAGTAAGGCAGCTCGTAAGGTGGGAACCAAGAGAGTGGACCCTTAGCCCTCCTCCTTTTATCTCTTTTTTGTCTAATTCCTTTTTTTGAGATAAATCTGGCTTCCTCAAGCTCCATGATTCAGAGAGACCATCCCATCCCCTGGTCCAAAGGCTCACCACTGGGTCCAACTCCAACTGCAGGACATTCTTCAGGTAACCAAGAAGCTTATGAGCCTTGAGCAGGCCAGTCGTAGGGGCATCTTGTAGGGGTCGATAACCCTCCATTGGATATGTAGCAGGGAGTTAAGTGGGAAACACCACTCTGTACACAAGGTTGAGAGATGAGGATCCCAAACCCTCCTGACAGTCAAGCCAGGAAATGAACTGGGGCTCAGGAGTCTTGGGTCCAGATGTTCAGTAGATAATCTAAAAGCTTCAAACCTTTTGCAACAACGAGCTCCTCAAGGCTGTGGCTGTGGGGGGCCCCCAGCTTGCTGCTGTGGGTTTTTTTGTTTGTTTTGTTTTCTTTTTTTTTCTTTTTTTAAAGGATATCGCAGTGGCCGGCTACCAAAGTTGAATGCAACAGACTCTTTGAAAGAGAGGCTGATAGCTGGAAAATAGGCCATTCCAGAGCCCCTGGTGATGTTGTCAAAAGCAGTTCCCAGAGAGACACCATTCCTGGGGCAGAACAATAAAAACAAGCATTTATTAAGTACCTACTGTATTTGGAACAGTAGATTAGTTATCAGGGGAGACACAAAGTATACACAGTGTCTACCCACAATGATCTTGGAGAACAGAAGTAATGCAGGGAAGAGCCAGGGACTAAAATGGACAGCCCCACTGGGTAGACTGTAGATTTAGGAGAGAACAGAAAGAAACCAGTGGAAGGCTGAGCAAAGGGAGATAATCACACTAGTACTAGGCTCATTGAAAGGCCTAGGATTACACCTGATAATCTCAAAACTAAATCATCCATGGGGGAAAAATGGATGCTACATGGATAGCTATTTGGCTGTCAACAGAACATAATGTAATCTCTCTCATTTCTTTGAAGCTTATGAACTACAGAAAGGGAGTGTGGTGTGGAGGAAAGAACATTTGACTTAAGAGTCATAAGACCTGGGTTGTAGCTCTGACTCTGACATTTAAACTGAGACTCAGTTTCCTCATCTTACAAATTTATAGTACCTAACTCATGGGATTGTTGTGAAGAGGTTTGTAAACCTTAACGTGCCATAGACCTATGAGCTACTATTATCAGAAGGTGGCACAGAGCCTTGTCCATGTTAAATGCCCCAGAAAAGCTTGTCTGATGAATGAATAAATGAATGAATGGATGCATGCACGGATGAATAAACCACACAAAAGAACATGTGTCATGGGCTTAGGGGATATTAGTAGACAGAAATCTCTCAGCAAATCAAGGGTGCAAGATGTTGGGTACTCACGAGCCAAAAGATCAGGGGAGCAACAACACTGCCCCAGACAACTACGTTATCAAGGGCAGAGGCCAAACTTCCATATACCCAATCTGGGCTAATTATCCTCTTTCCTTTAAGGTCTAGGGCCCACCTTGCTCTGCTCCTCTCAAATCCCCTCGGGCTTTTCCTAAGAGTAAGGGTAGGAGTACATGGAACTAACTGGCTAGCCATTCTTAATCTCAGGCCAAGGAATAAGCAGTAAAATAACCCAAATTATGGCTCAACAGTGCCTCCTAATTCCTTGGAATACCCAAGAAGGAGTTAGGAGAGACTCCTAAATACCCCATTATAGCTGAGTAAAAACCCCACTGACCTTGACCCGGGTGTGATCAATCAGGAGTCTTACAAGCAAAATCCAGTGGCCCTCGTGCCCCAAAGGAAAATGGGAGTCTACAGATTATCAGGCCCAGGGGCCTTGTCCCATCTCTATGGGAAGGCCCAAGGCTATGATCACAAACATCATTAAGACTATTAAAATAACAAAAATCATTAAAGCCTCATAGTCAGAAGGAAACTCCAAACTGTGAGAAGCATAGATCAACAGTCTGTCAATGGCAGGGAAGCCCAGTATCTCTCCTGCCTCTATCCAGGCAGGAAGGCAGGCTTCTCAGCTTCAGGTAGAGAAAAGCAAGTCTATGAGCCACAAGTTTAAGATGCAGAAAGACTTACAGACAAAAAGCAATGGTTCCCTCATCCAGGTCAATTAGGCAACTCACAATGTCTCCAGCTGCCCATGACTGTCCAGAGAAGGAAAAGTGCATTGGTTAGAAAGACACATATTGGAGGCTCACATAAAGATACACCCTGCTTGAAACAACAAGGCAAGACTGGCTGGATAGTCAAGAAAAAACACTGTTTCCCCCAGTTCTATATTAAAGCACCAGGTTCCATAACAGGGAAGGGTTCTGATACTTTCTAGTTCTATGTTCAGGATAAGCCTTATCAATAAACAATTCCTGGGTCCAAAGAAAGCATGATACAGAACCAAGGAACTAGGGGAACCCCCCCACCTACAAATAAGACCGACTTCTTCCCCTATAATCAATTCTCTACTGTCTGGAGCCCATAAGCAGCAGCGTACCAGCTGCCCCAACTACTCCCCTATGGGATATGTTGAAAGCATAGGCTTTAGGACAGAAGAGATGGGGAGTGTTGGGGAGGGGAGGCAAGGAGGAAGAAGGATACAGTAAGATGAGTGAGTGGCTGGTTCTTACAGATAAAGGTCAAAGGAAGCACATGGCTCCAGCTGGGGGGCACAGAGTGAAGAGTGGGAACTAAAGCCATTTGTTTGGGACCAGAAGCCAAGGTGGAATACTTCTCCAGAGGACTTACACACCCATAACCAGACTACAGTACCTATGTCCTCCAGCTTCCAGAAGGATACTCACTTTGCCATAATTAGTTGTGGTCACATTCCACTTACGCACTCTGTTACCATCATAAGCATAAGAGTCAGGTGTGTCTCCAACTCCTTCCTGCATAGAAAAAAACAATGAAGACATGAGAGCTCCTCCCCCCACTCTGAACACAACAAACATTTCTTAAGTGCTTTCTGTGTGCAAAGCATTATACTGGGTACTGGGAGAGTTATGGTTTAAATAAGACATAGGAGATCTGCTTTCTAGGAGCACATTAGATTAGAAGTGGGGATGAGACAACAACACAGCTATAATACACAATATTATAGGATAAGTACATTAGAGAGTTACAAAATAAAGTCATGAGCAAGGGAAACACATAGCACCAAGATGCAGCAGTCCCAGAATCTGCAGCCAGCAGCTCTGCAGCTCAAGGACATGGAAGCTGAAACACTGGAGATTCAGCTGCTCCAAAAAAGCAGGCCTATGACACAGCTAGGCAGGACCCACCTTCCCTACTGCTGCTCCAGTCATACACATTCACAATGAAGTAATCATTGGCCATTACCCTCCTTCAGGCCCTCATTATCTCTTGCCCAGACTGCCCGGCACCTTATTTGTATTGTTTCCAAGTTTCTTCCCTCTCCAGTCCATCCTCAACACAGCTTCTAAATTTATGTACCCAAAGCACAAGTCACCATTTTACTGTTCTTCTGAAGAGGCTTTAGAGGTTTCCTATGGCCTTTAGGATAAACACAAACTCCTCTGTTCGATATTTAAAACCCTTCAAAATCTGACTCCTACCTGTCTTTCCATAATTATTTCACACTGCTCCCCTGAGGAAGCTAGGCATAGGAGGCATAGGTAGAGAGAGTGCTGGGCTTGGAGTTAGGAAGACCGGAGTTCAAATATGACCTCATATATTTCCTGGCTGTATGACTCTGGTCAAGTCACTTTGCCTTCATTTCCTCAACTGCAAAATGGGGATAATAACAGTACCTACTTTGCAAGGCTGTTGTGAGGATCAAATGAGATCATATGTGCCTGGTGCACAGTAAGTGTTCTACCAATGTGTATTTCCTCCCCCCTCCTCCACGCCACTGTGCCCTTCACACACTGTCTGGGCAAGCCAAGCCCACGACCAACAGTCCATCTCCTGCCTCCAGGTATTTGCCCTGAGTTCTCTACCCTTCTTGTCTCTCCCTTTTAGAAAATGAGCCTCCCTCTGAGTGCCACCTCCTCACTAAGTCCTTTCCAATGCTCTCAGTTGTTAATGGTCTCTACCAACACCGCCGATTACTTTGTGTTTCCTTTGTATATCTTTTATATTTACTTATGAATTATATCCCCCAAGTAGAATGTAAGTGTCCTCATCTGTAAGAGGGGGGATTTCTAAGGCCTCTTCCAGATCTAGATCTCTAAAGGGAGGCAGTATGGAGCAATGGAAGATACAGTGAACTTGGAGTGCTGAATGTAGAGATATGGGATCTGAATTCAAATTTTACCTCTGCTATTTCCTTCCTGGGTGACCTTGGGGAAGCCATGTAAACTCTTAACCTTCTTTGTCTCTAAAATGAGGGAATGGACTAGATAACCTTTTAAATCCTTTCCCACTCTAAACTGGTGTTCCTATAAGTGCCTGAACTAGTCAGACATACATCCTAGATTGTGGAAGAGGACATTTCAAACGCTCCAGAAAAAAGATGGGTAACCATTTTGGAGAACAATTTGGAACTATGCCCAAAGGGCTATAAAAAATGTGCATACCCTTTGACCCAGCAATAGCACTTCTAGGGCTATATCCCAAAGAGATCAAACGAATGGGAGAAGGAACCACATGTACAAACATATTCATAGCAGGCTGACTTCAGAAAAACACGGAAAGACTTGTATAGTCTGATGCTGAGTGAACTGAGCAGAACCAAGAGATCTTTGTACACAGTAACAGCCACGTTGTGTGATGACTAATACTGATAAACTTAACCTTCTCAGCAATACAAGGATCTAAGACATCTCCAGAGGCCTCGTGATGGAAAATGCTGTCCACATCCAAAGGAACAACTATGGAAGTTGAATCGCTATCATTTTTTTCCCCCTTCTGCTGAGTTTTGTTTCCTCTTTCTGATGGTTCCTCCTATTGGTTTTAATTTTTACTTACAACTTCACTAATGTGAAAATATGTTTAATAGGAATGTAAATGTAAAAAATAAGAAAAAAAAAAGGATGGGCAAAATCACATGAATTAAGATCTTATAGAGAAAACCTGCCCAGGCAGGATGGGAGGCTTCAAAAATGAAAATCTGAAGACACAAAGAGAAACAATTCCTACAGAGACCAGCATGGATGCACAAGGAATTCACCAATCACCTCATGTTTGTTAAAGACGTGAGCAGAAGGTTTGGAAGAATATGTAACAGAGAACAAATACAGAGATGTGGCATGGTCCTGTAAAAACAGTCAGGAGCCCTAAAGCTCATCATGAGATGAGTGTAATCAGGAAAGCTCACAGACAATAAAAAAGGGGGCACTTCTTAGTTACAATGACGGGGGAAAGAGAGTACTAAAGAAGGAAGAGAAGTCCTGATTAGGGCTGTGGACAAGATGATACTGGACAACATTAAGAAGGCAGAACTAACCAACTTTTACTCTCCAACTCTTCACTCTAACATAGAGAATCTTTTCATTGGAAATGGCCAAACAAAAATGGCTAGTAGAGATAAAGCTCAAGATAAGCAGGAACATAGTAAGAGAGCATCTATAGTTGCCCTGGATTAGTTCAAGTCACTAGGCCCAGAAGAACAATATCCCAGGTACTGAAAAAGAATGAAAAAAATAAAAACAGTGAGGATGTGCATGTTAAACCAGTATCAGTGATCTCTGAAAGATCAAGCAGAATGGGAGAAGTGCTACAGAATTTTAAAAGGGCAAAGGTTATCACAATTTTTTTTAAAGAGAAGGGAGTTAAAGACTACAAATTACAGGTCACAGAGCTTTTATTTGACTCTTGGCAAAATTCTAAAAAGAGGTGGTTAGTGAATACCATAAAAGCAATAACCATTAAAATTATTTGGTACTAGTTAAAAAATGGGAAAGTTGATCAATGGATTAGATTAGGTAAACAAGACCCAGAAGCAACTGAACATAATAACCCAGTAACATTTAATAAATCCAAGGAAATGAATTACTGGGGATGAGGACTCCCTGATTCAATAATTATTGCAAGAAAAACTGGAAAGGCACTGGCAGAAAATAGGTTTATACAAACATATTACACTACATACCACAATAAGCTCCAAACGGATACATGAACTAAATATAAACGGTCTTTTTTTAATTAGACAAGGAAAGGAAATACCTTTCACAACTATGGTTATTGGAAGAATTCTTAATTAGACAATAGTAAGTAAGCAAAAATCACAGAAGATAAAATGGACAATTTCAATGACATTAAATTGAGTAAGTTCTGCACGAGCAAAACAAATATTGTTAGAATTATCCAAAGAAGCCAAAGACAAACGGAAGAGACCCATACGTCCAAAAATGTTTATAGTAGCACATTTTAATGCAGCAAAGAATGGGAAACAAAGCAGGTATCCATCACTCAGCGATTGGCTAGATAAATTGTGGTATACTGACATAAAAGAATATTACTAGACTATAAGAAATGAGGAAATAGACAGATTTAGAGATTTTTGGTAAGACTTGAATGAATTGGTCAGAATGAAGTGAGGAGAACCAGTAGAACAATTTATACAACTACCACTCTATAAAGGAAATAACTCTGAAAGACTTCAGAACTCCAATCAATAAGGTAACCTTTCATGATATGAAAAGAATGATGATGAAACATACTTCCTGGGTGACAGACTAGAAATGCTGAATGAGATATGTTTTCAGACACGGTCTGAATGAACATATGATGTGTATTGCTTGTATATGCTTATTTTTTATAAGGGAGAGTTTCTATTTGTGGGGATGAGGGTGAGTTAGTGGGTAGTGATAGAGATGGGGGGAAGAAAAGAGAATAAATAAAGTATTAAAAAATACCCAGTAGAGGAGAAAAAGGTCACACAAACAGGGTAATCTTATTACTATATACTATAAACTACACTTTTTTAAAAAAGCTGCACGGGCCTCTAGGTGGCACAATGGATAGAGCACATCACCCTGGAGTCAGGAGGACCCGAGTTCAAATCCGACCTCAGACACTTGACACTTACTAGCTGTGCGATCCTGGGCAATTCACTTAACCCTGACTGCCTCACCAAAAATATAAATAAATAAATAAAACTGCACATAGCAAAAGTTTATAATTTTATATGCAATTCTCTTTTGTGTTCTTTGTGTATTAAAATCTCATTGATTATAAAGTTCATAATAAAGAAGCAAAATTTTTTTTTAAATGTTTTTAAAAGCTTAAAGGAAGCAGGGATCATAAAAAGCCAGCATGGCTTCATTTGATCAACTGAATAATTATCCAATGTTCAGTAAATCCCAGAACATAAATTCCTAGAGAATGGACTTGTTTGATAGGAACTGCTAAGAAAACTAGGCAGCAGTCTGGCATAAAATAAGTTTAGAACAAAATCTTATATCCTACATATAATAAATACCAATTAGACATATGGTCTAAATATAAAAGGTTATATCTTTTTTTAAGTAGGAGAGAAAATAGAAGGAGATATCTTTTCAACCCATTAGGGGGAGAATTTTTCTTTTAAAAATTTTTTTATTGATTTTTTTTGTTTTTAATACCATAGTCATTTCCCAATATATCCTTAAGATTAAAACCTCCCTTATAACAAAGAAAAAAAGTTAGGCAAAACAAATCAACATGACAACCATGGCTGACAGCTTAAGGAACATTTTATTCCTGTAGTCCCCACCTCTCTACCAAAAGAAATAAGGTATGTTTCGACATCTATTCTCTAGGGTTGAGACTGGTCATTACAATTAATCAATTTGGCTGCCTTTCAGTAGCTATTTTTTTTTCGGGGAGGTTTTCTTTTTTTTTTCTAAAAGGAGACTCAAAAGAGTAGTGGAAATTATAAAAAATAAAACTGAAAATTCTAAGTATATAAGATTTTAAAGCTTTTGTACAAACAAATCAGTGTAGC